TTCGTCGCAGCTGTCGCATTCCCAGACTCGCCAGTCGGTCTCTTTTCGAAAAAAGGCACTAGACCCCAGTTTCGCTTTCATTAGAGCTCGTCAGTAGTGCATATCCTTGCCACTGCCGGGACTAGAACTCTGGCCATGCTGTTCATGAGCAGGCAACCGTGTTTACCACTATGCCATTGACCTCACATTTGACACGATCGAATCACGACCGCATGTAAACGCTCAACCACTTTCGCTTGTGAATAACGATCAGGTTGCCCGCTCGCTTCGAGACGAGACACAGTTACTGTCTGTTAACTTCAATCGATGACCCCTCTACTAAGACATCTATCCAAGCTGAAATCACAGAAATCATTAACCTGTTGAGCGGTATTTTGATTACCGACGAGTTAGCTTCCACGCAGAGCTTTAAATTAATATCAAGGAAATATGCCATCCGAAGCGTGCCTTCTGATGAAATCTGTCTAAATAGAAGCTCACACCACAATGCATTTTGAAATTCTCAATACCTATTTTGGGGAGGTGAGCACGTAAAAATTCTATTCAGTTCCGTCTCCGTATGAATTTCAAAAGGGTCATTATTGTTGCATAATATACATGTTTGAGTAACATTTTGTTCGTTTTCACCAGTTACATACATGAAATGATAACAGAATATCATGTCGCACACACCTCTAGAACGGCGTTATGATTGCTTATTAGACAAACTCTTCCTACCTCGTTAGCATAATCGTCCAATAACATGTCGTCAGATCAATATGAACATGGAGTTTAAAAAATGATTTCATATGAACGGCTGAAACTATATTCACGATAATCACTTACTGCTCTGCACACAGAATAAGTTTACGTTATTTGACTAAGGCCAACTGTTTCTGTGGATGTGATACAGGAGCGTGGGCTACTTGAGACCAGGGAGACTTTTAAGTGTGGGCGACCTACATTATTGACTCGACTTGAAATAGTGGATACCCACACTCACACAGACAGCTGATCACGGCTATGAGATGTCAGCATATCCAGTGAACAGAACAGTTGTGATCATCAAAACATTTATCTTGACCAGTTAGATGACTTGATGCATTTTTTAAATTTGTGTTTATCGGTGTGCAGACCAATAGATAGAGTTGAAATTTCCGAGCTCTTGGCGTGGCTTCGTAGCTTAGCTGGTAGAGCGCTCGCCGCGTTGAGGCATGGTGTTTCCGTCGTTGGTTTGAATTCAGCCGAAGCCCTGACTTTTCACATATGGAACTGTCAAACTAGTTCTTGTGAACAATAATGTGTGAAATTACTATCATATCCCCAGAGAGTTTGAACATCTGCCACGAACCTTGTATTAGGCACGACCGAAGCACGGGATCTAGCGGCTTATTCTGAATGAATGAATGAGCACTCATATACAATTGTCACAGTCTCAATGACCGCTAATGTGGAAAAATATTACATCCTCAGATAGTTTGAACGCCTGACTCAAAATGATCGGAAACATATTCGGTTGGCGGATTGACAAAAGGAAGCCGTTTGAATGTCGACTACGAAATAAACGCGTTTAGTAACCTTTGAGAATTAGTATCTTCACAGCGTGAAATACTCATGGATAACATTGTGTCATCGACGAACAACACGTCGATCGAAAGTTCCGACAAAATATTCTAAATCCCAACCGATCGTGCACGAGCACAAAACATGATATGGCGAGACACGACAACAAAGAAGACAATGATGACCATAGACCAATAACGCATGTATTTACCGGCAAGGCCAATGAGCGTACCCTCGAGTGTTACTTCAAATCTGGGAAAAACATTCGAGTAATCATTAGACCATTACTTTATGACAAACATAAGATACGTCACAGATGACGCCCGATTAGGGTTTGGTTTATTTTATCTCTTCTAGTTATATTCGCCCGTCAACATTGTGTTCGGTGGTTTGAAACGCATTGTACACGTGTCTATTGGACTGTCAATAACTGTTTGAATTGTAGATCCTGTCGACTGTATCGATAACCGTAACTTAAGGTCCACACGCCTCCTGTTGTCAAGGTACGCACTGTCTTACGCTGAACTAATTTTGCCGTACCAACTCTATGTTGCAACTGCAACAAACAGTTTGATTATTCTAATGTCATTCCGTTTAAGCGGTAGGCGTAACAACCTCGCAATCAATTTGGCTTTAACCAACTGGATTATGGCAAATTTAATTAAGACGCCTCCTCTATTTTGGAATCTGCCTGAGGAAAAGTCCATTGCTCAGTGATGGTTATATTTGAAAGCCACCATTACCGAGTATATTCAAGTACTTTCTGTGCCTAGTGATAATCAAGATGTAGAGGATATTTTAAATGTTAATTTATTCTGTCACTACACCAGTCATAAAAGACAACGGTGCCTTGACAACTTACAATTACACGCCAAACAATAGTTGTCATCCGTAAGAAAAAGGATGGACATTTTTTACAGCCCGTTATAAACTCTACGTAAAACGTTCACCTGCAGGCGAATCCGTCAACGACTTAGTCACTCGATCCTTTCAGACTGTACCTAAGGACAAATCCCGTTGAACGAACAATGTATATCCAAGGGTGTAATTACTGGGTGCGCAAGCGACTGCCAGTTGAAGATGAAAATTTCTTAACGTGGGAGAAAGTTTATGATATGGTGCGCCAATGTGCTAATTCAGTCAAAGAACATTCATAGTCCTCCGCTGCGGAGCTTTACAGAACAAATTGTGCTAACCAGGTAGCACACATCAAACATTCTACGTTTTTTTGCTGTCGTCGTGGTGACGATCTATAAAAGCAAAGTGACTGTCCACACATGAATTCAAGTAGCAAATTCTTTTAGAAGAAAATTCCGACTCAGATGTCTTCCCAGACGTAGTGCCTACAAATTTTTCAGTTCCAGATCAACAAATCTAATCAACGAGAACATGAATATTCAATGGACTAACAAGACAACCGTCAGTTATCGCTGCGCAGCAACCTTGGATACACCATTTGTTGTTTCGCTAAATGTGAACAGACAATAAATTGCATTCGAGCATGACGCTGCATCGACCGTAACATGACTGTGACGGAATGTCTCACTGCAACTTCCAGAAATGAATCCACTCACAGGTCATTTGGAATCTTGCATAGATCGAACGGTGTGTGCTATCGGTACTGTGCCTGTTGATGTGTCCCATTACATCGCAGGGTCCAGAGATATTTGGTGGAGACCGCATTAAACATTTTCAGAGCAATCTATTGAATGTTAATACGACTGGAGTTCAATACATCCCCAGGCAATGCAACCACACTTCTGATGCTTTAAGCAGATTTTCATTACGGGATATTTTTACTACTTATCACTAATTACTGGATGTCTACAGAATTTAGTCCACAAGAACTTGTGAATCCTATCCGACGATCCAATGACAAAACAGTACGTGTAAGCAGGATGGTCAGAACGAACACCTAATGGACTTACACCTTCCGATTCGGAATGGCTGAATTATATCTTCAAAACGTACCTCTACTATGGAAGCCCATGCGTTGGTTTCGAAGCGATTGCAGACGCTTACTCTCAGTGAACTTCATGGAAAATTAAAATGACGTTACTGTCCCGTTATTTTTGTGTAATAGCTTGCGCTGGACGGTGACGTTGTGCCAACAGTTAGGTCATGTGTACTTTGGCGAGAAAACTAAAACTGATGCTCAGATTCTTCCAACAACGATAACGACAAGCAGAACAAGTCAATTACGCACAATTCTCGCAACATTTCGTCTGCCAGAAGCCGCTGTGATGGACAATGGCTCCGTGTTTACCAACTCTGAGCTTACAGACTTCAGAGATGTGGATGTAATCAAACAGGTTATAACAGCACCTTACCATCCCGCTTAGAACGGCCTGAATAAGAACGCCATGCAGACAGTGCGGAGTATGTTGAAGGAACAACCGAGCGACTCCTTGCGCGTGCGACTGGATCGTGCTTTATTGTCTGCCGGAAGCTTGTTACCGTGGCCACCGGTAACAGTCCGGCCGAACTCACATGTAGTCACCGTCTCCGTACTCGATTAGACTTACTCCACGAAAGTCTTCAATCAAAGATATCTATTAAACAAGAACTAAAAAACGACCGTTTCGTCATACCTACCATGGATAAACGTGTCTTTGAATCTTCCCACAGAAAACAAGTAGCGATCCCCTATCGGCACAAGTAATAACGCGCAAAGTATACAGGCCCACATGGAAGACTGGTAAGCTATGCGACACCTTTCGGATTATACGCTGTTTTTATGACCAATATTCAAAAAAACAGAGGGAGAGATGACACTTCCGCCAGCGGTGCGTGAACGATGGTTCCAAACGTGTTGTAAGCGTACCTATCGATCTGTTTGAATTGACCACCTTAACGACAATATCGAAAGCTTGAACTAATAGTTCACACGTCTCCAGTTTTCACAGTGCGCACAGCCTTGTACTGAACTGACTACGCCGTTACGCTACTTTCGACTGGTAGCATCCTCTGGAATCACCTTCTCCGTAATGAGGTTCCACAGAAATACGTGAATTTGTTAAGATCACAGTACGCCCAACTTGTAAACAAGATGAGGGCTTATGGACAATTGCTCCCGACGTTCATCACTTCTGGTGGTGTTCATCAACGGTGTCCAATTTCCTCTATCTTGTTCAATTTTGTCACAGACGACATTCTGGAAAGTACGCCTGAGAAATCCACTCGGTTTGGTGTTGAACTTCTTTCTGGCGCTAAGTTGACTGAAATGGAGCATGCAGATGACACTGCCTCATTTAGCCCCTCCGTAAGACATGCAAACCATGCTGAACATAGTGAGTGATGGAGCTGGTTTGTATGAAATGCACTTCACATCTTCAAATTGCAAAGTGCTACTACAAATCTGGGGCACTTCCATTCCTACTTACTCTACTGTATGTAATCCGTTTGAGACTGTGGACACCTTCATATACTTGTGTAGTACTATCTCGTCAGCTTGTAATATTGTTGATGAGATATCAAGGAGGAGAGTAAAGACATGTATTGTCTTTGGGAGGATGTGTCATCCGTGGTATCGAAAAGACGTCCGGTTGTCGTTGAAGGGAAGGGTATACACAGCATATTTGCGGTCTGTTTTACTCTGTGATTCGGAAGCATGGCCTGCTCCCGACGAAGATGTCAACAGAAGTATTGTGTATGATCATCAGCCTCTGTCAATCAAGCTGCACCAAATGGGCCGGCGGTAATTCTGGAACGCTTGGGATGTGGGGTCAATTGGTCAACTAGTCAGGTTACACAGTCCGTGGCAGTTGGGTCACGTACAGATTACGCCAGCTGAGCGTCCGTCGTGCCGAGTATTGCAGACTGAGACCATCAACAGCTGGGTAGAACCGTATTGGTCAAACAACAACGTGGTCTCGAAATATGAAGACCCTGACTGTTCCATTTAGCAAAATGGGTAGGTGTTACCTTTCTGGTTGTGGTTCTCGTGATCACTCAAAGCGTTGGTTAGAAACGCTTTCCGAGATGGCAGTGTATCGCATTTAGTGGCGTGCCTGCCTTCATACCACTCCCAGTTCTTCCGCTTCGTTTTTTTGTTGTTGTAACATTGTTGATAACGTTTTCTTTCTCCGAGATATTCCACGTCGCTGTTGATGTAAGGGATGTCCTAGCCATAATAACTTCTGGTTAGGTTCAAGGCTGTTGTGATGATAACGATGGTGAAATGCTCTTTTTGACTCGGTTGTTTGGCACGCTCCTCAGGGCTGTATCCATCGCAGAGAAGTCCAAGTGGAGTATATCAGTTTGTTGAAGTCGTTATGCACCAGCTCTGAATGCAGAGTGGGCATTTATGAGCAGCTATCTGAGGCGTTCTCTACATCTAGTGGCGTCCAACAAGAGTGTCCTACTTCCCACCTTTTTCAACTTTGTGGTGGACATTTTGGAAGTAGCACTTAGAGGTTCCGGAAAACTTGGAGTGGAGCTTCTACTAGGCAGTAGGCTGACTACTGAGTATGTGGACGATAATGTCTGTAAACCATATCGAATCGGTTAAACGACATGGATAGTCTGTAATGGTATGTAATTTGTACCTTCAAAGTGTAGTGTTGTTACAAGATTGGGTGGGTGCTGACCCTGTCCTGGTTATTGCTGGCAGACCATTGGAGACTGTCTACCACTTTACCTACCTGGGTATTGTCATCCTATCGGCCTGTAGTACTGTTGACGAGGCGCC